TAAAACTGCAGTTGGACAAGAGGCATGGACTCTGTGAAGTCTTGCGGTCTACTGAGAGCATGATAAATATGGTTGATAACAATATGCTATATTTTAAAAGTTGTGAGATAGTACACTTTAAGTGTTCTCAAAACAAAAATGATGAATATGTGTGATATAACATGTTAATTGGTTTAATTTAGCCATGCCATTGTGAACATACTGTATTCTGTATCGTAATTGTGCATGACTTTATGAGCTAAATGAATGAATGAAAAAAAAGAAGGGACTTTGAGAGCCCATCCCACGTGAAGGGATGCTCTCATCCAGGACACATGGGGGAGGGCCTAGGCCTGGCCCAAGATGATGTTGTGGAATTTGGGGAGCCCCCGTGGAGGGCTCTACCCTCTATGGGGAGTGGAGAGGGGAAGGGGATGGTGGGGAATTGGGGGGAGGAGGAGAGGGAGAAGGGATTGACATGTGAAATTATAATTTGTAAAAATTAAATAAAAATTAAATAAAAAAACCTTCCTTTGATGAAAAAGGGAAACTGTTGATTCTTAAGCAGCTGTGAGGTACAAAACAAATAGCATTCCCTTCACTCATTCACTCACTTTTCTTTCCAGACAATAGTTGACTCCCAAATATGATGTACAAAGTATAATGGAGAAATTTTTCAAAATATGTATCAGGGGACCTATTTTCCAAAAAGTCACATACTCAAGAGTTCATGGCCTATATAGTCCCAAATACCACACAGCTGTGTTTGAGAAAAGCCTTTGAGTGAGATAACAAGTTTCCTGACTTGAGGAACCTTCAGAAAAAACCATCTGGGTCAAGTTTTTTGTTGTTGTTGTGCAAGTAAAAACACAAAAGAAAGGACAAAACATAACAGATATGGACTACCCATTAAGGCTTCAACAGACTAAAATATTACTTGGTTCTATGCTCACTTCAGCAGTACATGAACTAAATTTGGAAGGACACAGAAGAGATTAAAATGGCCCCTGTAGAAGGCTTACACACAAATATAAGCATTCCACATTTTTATGCAAACATAGTCAAAAGATGACACTGTATCCCATAAATGTGTACTATTATTATATGTCAATTTAAACCTTTTAAAAATTAATGCAGCTTGATATGAAATAATAAGGCAATGTTTTATAGAAACTTTATGTTTAAGGTTCAGAGAGTATTGGAGTTGGAGAGACGTTTTAAGATGGGAAAAATGCTGGTCTTCTAGAGGACCTGGGTTCAATTCCCAGCATTCACATGGCAGCTTACAACTGTCTGTAACTCCAGTTCCAACGGCACCTGGCCCCCTTTTTAGACTTCCTTGGGTAGTACACACAAGTGGTACACAGACACGCATGTATCATACACATAAAAAAGAATAAGTTCATTTTTAAAAGATTCAAAGAATAGATAAGATTTTTGCCAAAACAATATTATCATAATGTTCCAATATGTAGCCAGAGACAGAAAGAATTCATGGGTTCTGGTACACAATGAAACTGTGAGGGCTCTCATTAGAAATCAGGAAAAAGTGCTTTGAACATCTGTTCTTACTGTGCATAGTCATTCACACGTCTTCCCTGCCCCTCACTCTCTCTCCCCCTCCCTCATCTTGTCCTAGTATTTGTTATTAGCTGTTTAGTGTGGTTCTAAGAATAATTAAAATGAGAATTATTAGCATGAATTTTACATATATTTATGCATATATAGTGTTCAATATCAGTTTAAATATAAATATAAGAGCATTTAACTCATGAAAAATCAGCCAAACTGCACAACTCTTATGTTATAGTCAGCTTACAATCCACACCACCAGAGAAGCTAGGAAACAAGGAGGACTCTAAGAGAGGCATACATGGTCCCCTGGAGAAGGGGAAAGGGACAAGATCTCCCGAGCTAATTGAGAGCACGAGGGAGGGGAGAGGGAGATAGGAGAAAGAGAAGGGGAGAAAAGGAGAGGAGAGGAGGACATGAGAGAGCAGGAAGATTGAGTCAGGGAAAGAACAGAGGAGAGCAAGAAAAGAGATAACTAAATAGAGGGAGCCATTATAGGTTTAAAGAGAAATCTGGCACTAGGGAAATGTCCAGAGATCTACAAGGAAGACCCCAACTAACAATCTAAGCAATAGTGGAAAGGCTACCTTAAATGCCCTCCCCTGATAATGAGGCAGCTGGTGGAAGTGGAAGCAGACACCCACAGCTAAACACTGAACTGAACTGGAATCCAGTTGCAGAGAAGGAGGAGTGATGAGCAAAGGGGTCAAGACCAGGCTGGTGAAAACCAGAGAAACAGCTGGCCTGAACAAGGGGGAACTCTTAGTTCCCAGACTGATAGCTGGGAAACCAGCATGGGACTCATCCAGACCCCATGAACGTGGGTGTCAGTTAGGAGGCCTGGGCAATCTATGGAACCTCTGGTAGTGGATCGGTGTTTGTCCCTGGTGTACAAATGGACTTTGGGAGCCCATTCCACATAGAGGGATACTCTTTCAGCCTAGACACACAGGGGAGGGCCTAGGCCCTGCTCCAAATGATATGACAGACTTTGAAGATGCCCCATGGAAGGCTTCACTCTCCCTGGGAAGTAAGAAAGGATGTGATGGGGGGGGCATGGGGGGAAGGGGAGGAGGGGAGGGAGAGGGATCTGGGAATGACATGTAGAACAAGCTTGTTTCTGATTTAAATGAAAGATAAATAAACCCAAAGTGAATCACACACTTAAATTTTAAGTGAAACTATGAAAATTTATAAATTTGTATAAAATTAAGGCTGAGTTAAGGGGCCTTAGATAGGACAATAAAATTATGAGCCATAACATTGTTGCTAAACTCTAATTCATCAAAAATTATTTTTTTTACTCTGCAAAGAAGAAATGGTGAGCCAGAGACTAAAGACAAAATTTGTAAACCACATTTCTGGTAAAGATTTTAAAGTCAGAATACATAAAGAATTTTCAAAGGTCAATAGTAAAGAAAAGTCACAACTAATTTCATTAGAACACAGGTAAAGAACATGGAGAGGCACCTGATAAATGTTACTAGCCATTAGGAAAACACAAATTAAGTCACAGTATGATATCATGTCACACCTCTCCAAGTAGCTAAAATGAAATTATGACATCACCAAATATTGGCAAAGATGTGGAGAAATGTGACTCTTCATGCATCATTTGGGACATGTAAAATATTGCAACCATTCTAGAAGAGTTTGGCAGTTTCTTAAACTAAATATGTAACTATCATTTGATCTAACAATCACCCTTCTGGGTATTTATTTAACAAATATGTAAACATATTTTTCACAAGAGACTATACACAGATGCTTACAACAGCTTTGTTTGTAATAGTAAAAACACTAGAAAAAAACCAATGGTGAATGTATATATGAAAAGTATAAACCATGATCTGCCCGTGGCTAAGAAGGCTACTTAGCAGTAAAAGGAATGAGCTATGAATATGAAAATCCTCTCAGAGGTTCATGTGTTTAAGCCTAGATACCTAACTAGTGGCCCTATTTGGGGCATCTTGTTCCTGGCCCCTTCCTATCTTTCTCCCTCTACTTCCTGCCAGTCATGAGATGAAAATGCTCCTCTGCCACATACTCTGACAACATGATGTCCTGATCAAATTAATGGGACCAAACCCACTCAGATTGGATATTCTGAAATCATGAGTCAAAATAGATCTTTCCTCAACAGGCAGTGTGGTGCATGCTTTTAATCAGAGCACTTGGGTGACAGAGGCAAGTTGCTGGATGAAGCCTCTCTGAAGATGATTATGCTAGGCCTGTGTTACTGCAGCATGGGTCTCAAGATGGACCAGTTGGCCACTCCCAGAAGTTCTGCAACACCAAGCCAAAAATATGCAATGGAAAAAAGAAAGCATCTTCAACAAATGGTGCTGACATAACTAGATGTTAGCATGGAGAAGAATGCAAATAGATCTGTGTCTATCTCCCTGTACAAAACTCAAGTCCAAGTAAGTGAATCAAAGACCTCAACAGAACTCCAGATATACTGAATCTGATAGAAGAGAAAGGGAGAAATAGCTTTGACCTCATTGGTATGGGAGACAACTTCCCCAATAGAACACCAATAGCACAGACACTAAGATACACAATCAATAAATGGGACCTCATGAAACTGTAAAGATTCTGTAAGGCAAAGGACCCTGTCAATAGGACAAAATGACAGTCTACAGAATGGGAAAAGGTCTTCACCAACCCCTCATCTGACATAAACTAGACATCAAAATATCAAATTCTCCAATTTAAAAAAAATGGGGTGCAGATCTAAACAGAGAATTTTCAGCAGAAGAATCTCAATGGCTGAGAAACATTTAAAGAAACATATATATTGAACCATCCCTGCATCTCTGGGATAAAGCCAACTTGGTCACAGTAGATAATCTTTTTGATGTATATCTGTATTTATTTTTCAATTTTTTAGAGTCTTACAGGTTCTTTTTTATGTACAAAAGATCATGATCTTTTTCACTTTGCAGATGAACTAGAATTAGCCATTCAAGGAAGATATATTATTTGGTCTAGTTTAATAAAGCCTATGTCCTCAGCTTCTGGCAACCCATCTTGCCTTCAGATTGACAAGGAATAAAAAGGAACACTATGAGTTTACAATTATTTTTGAGAGCGTTTGCATCTATGTTTGTCAAGGATACTGCCTTTGGTTCTCTTTATTTTCTGTTGTCTTCTTTTAGATTTATTTTTATTTTGTGTGCATGGGTGTTCTGCCTACACGTATGTATGTGTTCCACATACATGCCTGGTGCATACATACAGAAGCCAGAAGAGGGTGCTGGATCCCCTGGAACTGGAGTTACAGATGACTATCAGCCATCATATGGGTGCTAGAAATGAAACCTAGGTCCTCTGAAAAACAGTTAGTACTCTTAACTGCAGAGCCACCTCTCCAGGCCCTTTTGTTGTGTCCTTACCTGGCTTTAGTATTAAAGGAATTTGGAAGTGCTCCTGCTGTTGGTTTGTTGTTGTTGTTGTTGTTGTTGTTGTTTATTTGTTTGTTTTTAGTAATTTAAGAAATACTGGTTGTAGTTCTTTGAAAATCTCGTAGAATTCAGCTATAACTCTATCTAGGCCTAGGCTTTCTTTTTTAAACTGGAAGGCCTTTTGTTAGTTTCAATCTCCCTATTTGGGTCTGTTCAAGTTGTTGATCTCTTCTTGGTTTAATTTTGTTGGTTCAGATGTATCTAGAAATTCTTCCATTTCCTTTAGTTTAATGGAATACAGGTTTTTATTTTTGTAAAAATTTTTATTTAAATTAGAAACAAGCTTGTTTTACATGTCAATCCCAGTTCCCTCTTCCTCCCCTCCTCCCATGCCCCCCACTGACCCCCATTCCATCCCTTTTCTGCTCCCCTGGGAGGGTGAGGCCTTCCATGGTGTATCTTCAAAGTCTGTCATATCATTTGGAGTAGAGCCTAGACCCTCCCCTGTGTGTCTAGGCTGGGAGAGCATCCATTTATGTGGAGATAAATACTGATCCACTACCAGAGGCCCCATAGATTAAGCAGACCTCCAAACTGACATCCTCGTTCAGGGGGTCTGGAACACTCCTATGGTGGCTTCCCAGCAATCAGGAGTACATGTTTTTAAGCTATTCCACTATACTGTTCTTAATTTCTTGGTGTGTGCTGTAATGTTTACCTGTTCATTTCTTACTAATCTATGTCTCAGCCAAGGGTCTGTAAATATTGTTATCTTTGTTTATTTCTATTTCATTCATTTCTGTCCTGTTTTTTTTTTATTATTTCTTCCCATCTACTGATTTTGGGGGTTGGTTTGTTCTTATTTTTCCAAATTCTTTAGAAATGAGTTTTCCCAAACTCATTAGGCTATCTTTTAGTACTCTTTTTGAATTCTTCTTAATGTGGGCACTTAGAGCTACAAATTTTCATTTTTTTTACTGTGTCCTGGAAGTTTTAATATATTGTATTTTCATTTTGTTTTATTTTATTTTTAGGAATTTTTATATTTTCTTCCTGATTTCTTCTTTGAC